TATATATATATATATATATATATATTATATATATATATATATTATATACATTATATAATATATTGTATATATACGTATATATATTACAGACACTTAACTGAACGTGAGGAGGGACTCAGCCGCCCCCGCGGTCAGCTAGCTGGCCTAGCAGGCGGCAGCGAGTAGCTAGCTGGCTAGCCAATGCGTAGAAACGAGCTATCTGCCTAGCTAGCTGAGGCAGGAGCACCTGGCTAGCTGAGGCAGTACCATCTACCTAGCTAGCTAGCCAGCTAGCTAGCTAGCTAGCTAGCTAGCCAGCTAGGAGGTGGCGTCTTCCAACGAGGAGGCCACGCAAATGGGGGCAGCCCGAGTTGCGCCAAAACCACAAAAATCTTCCCCCCAAATATTCACCCACTTGCATACACCCATTTGCATGCACAGTATATATATATATATATATATTTAATATATATATATATGTACACATATGTAATATATATATATATATATATTACACACTACTACATATATGGGACGCATATCTATTGGTGTTGTTGTTAAGAAGTGTTTGTATTATTGGCGTAGTGGCTGCAGCAGCAGCTGAAGCAGCAGCAGCAGCAGCAGCAGCTGAAGCAGCAGCAGCAGCAGCTGAAGCAGCAGCTGAGGCAGGAATACGTTTAAGTGAGTATTTTGTGTTTGTTGGTTTTAGTTGTCGAATCTTTCGAGCATGAGTTCGAATTCTTTTTGTTGTTGTTCTTCTGTCTTTTTTTGTTGCTCACTTTGTTTTGTCAGCTCATCAATTTCCCAAGCAGTCTTTAAACTATCTCCGAATGCATGCGCTGCAGCCCCATCCGAATTCATAATATTTCTAGCTGTGCTGCCTCTACTAACTGCACTTTTAAGCCTTTCTCTCTCTGCTTCTTTCATACGATCTGGGTTCATCGTCACTATTCTCCACATGTCTCGAACTACTTCACCCCAGCCCCCTCCTTCTCCTTTTATTGCATTATTTATTTTTTTTGCTGCAAGTATAAAGCTCCCATCATTTGCACTAATAGACTTCTTTGGGTTTGTCAGCATTTGATGAGCAGAACGAAAAGGAGCTAAAAAGAAATTACCCACTCCAGTAGCCGCCTGTACATACACCCAAACAAACAAACAAATATATATATATATATATACTACTGGATAGCTGCTAGCTAGCCGCCAAGTAATAATAATAACTAGCTACGCCACTCTCTAGCTAGTTAGATGTCTAAAGACAAAAGGAGACAGAGAGAGAGAGAGAAAGAGAAACAGAAAGAGGTAAAAAGATAGAGAGGGAGATATGAAGAGAGATAGAGAGGGAGGTAAGAAGGCCAACAGAGAGCAAAGGAGACAAAGATGATAAAAAAACAGAAAAAGCAAAAGAGACGAAAGAGAGATGAAGATATAAATAGAGATAGGAGGTACAGCACAAGACAGACAAAAGACAAAGACAGGCAGATAGATAAATTATTTTTTTTAGAAAAAATATTTTTATTTATTTTATTTAAAAAAATAAATAAAAGAGACAAAAGTGAAGAGATAAAATCAAGAGAGACAACGAAAGACAGGAGGAGACAAACAAAGACAAAAAGAAACAGAGAATTAGACAAATAAAGGCAGACAAAAAGACAGAGACAAAGACAGACAACACCACGCAACTTCACCTCTTTGAAAAACCCAGGGGCTTTTGTTGTTGTGGTGGTAGATGATAATCTTGAAAACAACTCCATCTCTTTTGCTATTTCTTCTTCTAGTTCTTTAAGCTCTTCAGGAGACAGCTTCTGCATTGCTTCTGCAACTTCGCGTCTCTCCTGCTGCTCATCTGTCTCTTCGCGTCTGTGCGCTGCTTCCCCTTCTCCTGCTGTAGCAGCTGATGCTGCAGCAGCATCTGATGCTGCAGCAGCATCTGATGCTGCAGCAGCATCTGATGCTGCAGCAGCATCTGATGCTGCAGCTGCGTCTGCTCCTGCATGCAAATCCAAGTCGTCATCGTCATCAAGATCGGAATCAACATCAGCAGCAGCAGCAGCAGCTGATGATGAAGAGGAAGAAGTATTGAGAGAATCAAAGGAGTCAAAGGGGCCGATGTCTTCTAGAGTATCTTCTAAGGAGTTGTCTGCTGCTGAGTTTAAACAAACATTTTTACTTAAACAACAGAAGACCCACACAAGAAACAAATTCCTGAAGATAAGCCGCATTATCGCTTGGAGTAGATATTATTAATCTACAGACCTAGACGCATGCAACAAGCACAGCAGCAAAGCAGCAAAACAAAGGCACCAGCAGCAGCAACTGCCTGCTGCTGCAGCTGCTGCTGCAGCACTTCACTCAAAAAAGAAGATTTATAATGAGAGGAGAACCCCTCTGGAAGGAGTGAAGACAACAGGCTATTAAGGCTCCTGGGAGGGGGTATAAAGGCATACAGAATAAACAACTAAATCAGCAGATAAATAAACAAAATAAATTTAAAATATTTAATTTAAAATGCCTTTCTGCTGCAAGAGATCAGTGGTCGATGCTGCGTGCTCTGATGTTGTACAGCAACGGAAGATCTGCAATTTTTTGAGTATATTTTCTCTTTTCTGAAAATAATAACTGCTTTTTTAACCAAACTATATTTAATAATCCAATTTATTCAATATTAAATCCACACATAAACAAAAAGCATAAACTTTCTCTCCTCTCTTCACATTGGCTTCGCGTACAACTCGGGGTTGTACGCTGGTTCGGTCTAGCGGTGGAGCGGCGATTAAAATCAAACATGTTCGTTTTAATTTAGAGGGAATTAATGATGAAATATAATTAAATTTTCGTTTATTAATTCATTTTCTCCTTTTTATCCAATTTAGACGGTAATTTTGTTCAAATTACGCGCGCAAAGGTGGTGGAGCGACGAGATGCAGGAAGCCGATGCTGGGGTGTATAGTCAGCTCAGCCGAAAGCGCTTTATTTTCTCCTTTATTTTCTTGTTTGAATGCATATATATTATCACAACTGAGTTGTTTCGTCATTAAGCGACTAAACTGGCATCAAATGCATATATTTATTGCGGTATGTGTCGCCTCCCTGGTCCTATGGGGGCTGTCTGTACAGCTATGCGTGCATACTTGAGGTGTATGTACAGCTCAAGAGGCAAATAAAAGAAAGAATAACTCTCAGGTCTATGGGGGCTCTCCCCACGCCGTCTCGAGAAGACCAGTGGTCCACTGCTAGTGCAGGACGAGCGATCATCAAGAGAAGAAGTTACAAAGCCCCAAACGCCCTCTTATCTCTGCATGCTGCATGCATGCATTTCTACAACATAACAATTACATTATTCAAGAGCCATGGCTGCATCTTCGTGTTTATCTCGACTGCGACTAACAGGGTGTACATATATTTTATAGAGAGACAAACTTCCTGCCGCTGCAAGCAAACAAAATCAGAAGAACTAAACGCAAATTCTGTGGGCTCCCCCAATCTAAACAAAACTCCTATTCTTTGCATGCATGCATGCATGCATGCATCGAGGGGTATCTGCTGCATGCGCTCGTTACCTGCGGGGTGTATGATGAGTGAATAGACAAGAAAGATTTTTTCTGTTTTCTATCAGCACCTCGAAAGGCGCACTAAGCCGCCCTTCGTGGGGCTTTACTGCATGCAGCTGCATACAGCTGCATGCAGTATGCTGCATGCACAAACGCATCCATCTGCCCCCTCTCCAGCAGCGGAAGTGAAGGCACACTCGTAACTCCGCATCCCGAAGAGCAGCAGCCCACTACAGCTAGCCACAGCTAGCCATAGCTAGCCATAGCTAGCCACAGCTATTGACAGCTAGCCACAGCTATCCACAGCTAGCCATAGCTAGCCCCAGCTAGCCATAGCTAGCCACAGCTAGCCCCAACTAAAAGACCACATGCGGAAGCCCTGAGTGAGGAGAGGCCCCTTGTTTGTCTGGAGTCTCCTGAGACAATTAATGTAGAGGCACTAACTGCATTTGCTGCACTCTTTCTTTCTTTTTGCTGCAGCACATTGTCTCCCTGCTGAAGCAGCTTGAAATGAATATTAAAGTAATTGCTTTAGGGGCCCTAAAGGACCACTGGTCCTCCAGGAGATGCCGATACACCCTAAAAAGACAGACAGAGACACAGCAGCAACAGCAGCAGCAGCAGCAATTGACGTTAGTAGATATGCGACAGCGCGCAGCAGCAGAAGCAAGATAAATTAAATATAATTTCTCCTGCTGCTGCTGAGCGCCCTAACTGGAGTGCCTCAGCTGTACGTACACCTCGAGAGAGAGACACAGAGAGAGAAACAAAATATATTATGATATATTATTATTATGCAAAACCAACTACAAAAACAAACATCAAATTCACTCACCAAACGCAAGCGGAGGTTGGAGAGAAAGTCCTCGGCATCCAGCTCGTACTCAGCTGCGCTCCTGCTGCTGCTGCTGCTGCTGCTGCTTCGCGCTGCTGGCTGCTGCTGCTGATGCTGCTGCAGGAGCAGCTGACGGTGGATGCGGCCGGCAGCAGCAGCAGCAAGCGACACCCACTGCGGGTGATGCTGAATGCCCCAGAGAGCTGCCAGATGGTGTAGCTGCGAACCCCACACAAATAACAGCAGCAGCAGCAGCAGCAGCAACAGCAGCAGCAGCAGCAACAGCAGGAGAAAGTTAGCTATGAGTCAAAAAGTCTGCATGATTGCACACTGCTACTCCTATTGCTAGTGCATCTGCTGAAGCTGCTGCTGTGCTGTCGTTGCTTCTGCTGCTGCTGCTGCTGCTGTTGCTGCTGCTGCTGCTGCACCTCATTCCAGTCTGCTGTGCTGCACTCTTCAAGGTTTGCCTCGAGAGTAGCGAGGAATTTGTCGCGGTTTAAATTTTCCTTGTGGCTGCTCCTCGCCTGCAGACAACGAACAGCAGCAACTCTTCATGCTGCAGCAGCAGCAGCAGCAAAAGCAGCAGCAACTGCAGCAGCTGCCGCAGAATTCAAAGGGTGCATCAACAGCGCCAGTGGAGTATCACCACCCTCAACAAACAGAAAAACAGCAGCAGCAACAGCAGCAGCAGCAGAAAAGGGAAGGAGACAATAATATTCGTACGAGAGCCATTACGAGCTGCAGATACACCCGGAACGCATGCAGCCCCAACTCTTCAGCAGAGTAGGAAGGCTTCTCAGAACAACTTCTTTTGCGGGGCTGCACTTCGTGCTGCTGCTGTTGCTGCTGCTGCTGCTGTTGTTGTTGTTGTTGTGGCGTTGTTGGCCAGGCATGCACAGCAGCAGCAGCATGCTGCAGCAGCAGCTGAGTTGCGGTGTCTCTAGAGCTCGACAGTTTTGTAGCAGCCAGAAGGAAAGGAGCAGCCGCAGCTAAAGAGGGGGCCCCCTCCCACCTGCAGCAGCAGCACAAGCAGCAAATATAACTCCATTGTGTTGCTGTAGCAGCAACAGCAGCAACACCCTACTTCAGGGTGCTGCTGCTGCAGCACTGAGGAAGCCTGCAAAGGCTCTGGCGTCTCACAGCAACAGCAACAACAGCCGCAGCAACAGCCGCAGCAACGACAGCAGCAACGTGAACAAGAGCAACAGGAACGGCCGCAGCATAAGACAAGCAAGGGTGACAGCAGCAGCTGTTGCAGCAAACAAAGCAGCAGCAGCAAGGATTGCGAAGCCCCAGCAGCAGCAGCAGGAGCAGGGACTGAGACACAGCAGCAGCAAGGCTGGAGAAGCAGCAGCAGCAGCAGCAGCAGCAAGGCCTGTTCTCGCTTATGGGTAGAGTGACAGCGCCACCAATAGCAGAAGCAACAACTTAACCAACAGCAGCAGCAGCAACAGCAGCAACAACAGCAACAGCAGCAACAGCTGCAACAACGACAGCAGCAGCAGCATAAGGACACGCCACAGCAGCAGCAGCAACGGCACCAACAGCAGCAGCAACAGCAGCAACAAGAGCAGCAGCAAGAAGAGCAGCAGCAGCAGCAGCAGCAGGAGCGTTACCTATTGACGAGGCACTGAGCAGCAGCAGCAAAAAAAGCAGCAGCAGCAGCAAAGTTTGCCTTTGCAAACCCCGCAGCAACCCAAAGAAGCTCTTTCGTGCTGAACTCCTCTGCTGCTGCTAGCGACTTGGCTGTCGCCGCCAGCCCTGCAAACAAACCCTAAACCCTAAACCCTACACCCTAAACCCTAGACCCCGCACAATTAATGCGGCGCAACTGCTCGATTTCTCGGCGCCCCGCAACCTCAAGCAAGCCCTGGATAACAAATAAGCCCTAAACCCTAAACCCTAAACCCTAAACCCTTAACCCTAATCTCGCACCGTGTAAAGCCTCCTTTGCGCAGGGCCCTGCTGCTGCTGCTGCCTCAACAGCCATTGCGACGTCAATACACCTAAACTTTTCTGTCTTTGTTCTGTACGCCCACCTCACAAAATAATTTAAAATAATAAATAATACATATATATATATATATCAACATATATACATAAATATATATATATATATATATTACACAATATAGTATATCATAGAGATATATAATATATATAATATGCATATTATATATGTAACATGAATACACAATACATATATATATATATTATATAATATTTATTATATATATTATTAAATATATATATATATATATATATTGTTTATTATATATATGTAAATAAGCCGTGTTGCTAAAATAGCTGTTTAGGGGTTTTGATGTTTTTGACTTTGTTTGTCGCCTCACCTTCTGCTCAGTTCCTGAGTCAGGCGCTGCAGCAGATCCCCTTCCTGCTGCTGCTGCTGCTGCTGCTCTTGCTGCTGCTGCTGCTGTTGCTGCTGCTGCTGTTGCTGCTGCTGCTGCTGCTGCTGCTGTTTCAGTCTAGCCACACTCCACATGAGGACAACGAGCTGCTGCAACGAGAAGGAGCGGAAGCTCTTGAGCTTTAACAACTGCAAGAACGGAAACCCTAAACCCTAAACCCTAAACCCTAGACCCTAGACCCTAACCCATATCCCTCTGGTGCTGCATAGTAAACCCTAAACCCTAAACCCTAAACCCTCACTCTTTCATTCTTGGTGAGGTTCAGCGAGGTCGGGCGTGCACTGCCCCTCGGCACCTCAGGGCTCAGCTCTGTTAACTAGGGTTTAGGGTTTAGGGTTTAGGGTTTGTCTTACTTGGTTTTCAAGCGTTTTAAAGAGGTGATGCTTGTCCCTCCACTTCGTGCGGCTTAACACCAAACAGCCGATGCAGAGACCCTGAGGCTGCAGATGCTGCTGCTGCTTCTGTACTGCAGCAGCAAGGCTGTCTAGAGCTGCTCCCAACAACTGCAGCTGCTGTTGCTGCTGTTGCTGCTGCTGCTCCTGCTGTTGCTGCTGCTGCAGCAAAAGCTGCTGCTGCTGCTGATACTCTATAGAAAATGAATACAACAGCAAAATCAACGCCTGCAATGCACACACAGACACCAGCAGCAGCAAGTAGAGCAGCAGCATGAGAAGCAACAGCACCAACCGCAGCAGCAGCATCTGCTGCCACTGCTGCAAGTCTTGCTTGCAGCAATCCTGCTGCTGCTGCTGCTGCTGCTGCTGCTGCTGCTGTAACTGACTTGTGGGTCAAATGTATGGGCCTTCGGAATTATCTGCGCTGCTGCTCCAACCATGAAGGCGGTCTTGCTGGCAGCAATGCTGCTGCTTATCGTGCTGCTGCTGCTGCTGCTGCTGCTGTTGCTGCTGCTGCTGCTGGAAGCAAGATGCGTAAGAGCAAGAGCTGCTGTGCTGATGCTGCGGCCCTTCATCGCACCGGCGAGAGCTGCAGCCTTCTTAGCCAGCAGAGACAAAAAGCAATCCCCCACAGGACCTGCTGCTGCTGCTGCTGGGTCTGCTGCTGGGTCTGCTGCTGCTACTGCTGGGTCTGCTGCTGCTGTTGCTGCTGCTGCTGGCGTTGATACGTGTGCGGTTATATTGCTATCTGCTGCTGCTCCCACTCCAGAGCCCGCTCCTTCTGGGCCTACAGCAGCAGCTGCTGTTGTTGCTGCTGCTGCTGCTGCTGTAGTTGCTGCTGTTTGTCCTAGATCTGTTGCTGCTGCTGCTGTTGCTGCAGGTTGTAGCTTCCTTGCTGCTGTTGCTGCTGCGAGGGCCCCTTTATCCTTCGCTCGAGCGAAGGAATAAAGCAGACTTGCTACTTCCTGCAAATATATCACATTGGGGTTTAGGGTTTAGGGTTTAGGGTTTAGGTGGGCGGAAAGACAAGCAGCTTCGGCGTCGTCCTAAGGCCTAGGGCTGATGTCTGCGTGCGACTACAGGGTTTAGGGTTTAGGGTTTAGGGTTTACATGGGGGTTGAATAGATGCAGTTTGCTGCTCAGTGCAGCAACAAAAGACAGCCAAAACTCCTCCGTCGCTCGCACCCTACAAAACCCCCAGAGCAGCAAACTCAAACCGCTGCAGCGCAGCTGCTGCAGCACCTGCTGCTGCTGCTGCTGCTGCTGCTGCTGCTGCTGCGGCTGCGGCTGAAGAAGCTGCGCCTCGACGTGGCTGAAATAATATAACACAGAGGCATCACAGACCCTCCAAACCCTAAAACCCTAAACCCTAAACCCTAACCCCCAAACTTTAAACCCTAAACCCTCATCTCTAAAGTTAAGCCCAAACCTACTACCCTATGAAGCCGCAAATCCTGCAGACTGAGCGAGTGTAGGGTTTAGGGTTTAGGCTTCCTAGGGTTTAGGGTTTAGGGTTTAGGGTTTGTGGCTGACCGGAGAAGATCAGCAGCAAGGGTTTTGTGTTTGCTGCTGCTGAGCTGCAGCCGCGCAAAGGCCCAGGGGAGATATGCTAAATTGCATGGTCTCAATAAACCTCCTAGAGATAGCTGCAGCTGCAGCAGCAGCAGCAAGCGGTGAAACCTGCAGCAGCAGCAGCAGCAGCAGCAGCAGCAGCAACACAGGCAGCAGCTGCTTAGGCCGCGGCAGCAGCAACACACGGCAGCAGCAACAGCAGCAACAACAGCAACAGAAATTGCAGCAGCACCAACACCAAAAAAAGAAGAGGGGTCAACAGCAGCAGCATCAGCAACAGCAACAGCAGCAGCAGCAACAGCAGCAGCAGCAACAGCAGCAGCAGCAACAGCAGCAGC